CTTACCGATTCCTCTTACCGATTCCTACATTATACTTGCTATACTTAAACAAGTATATAATAAACACATGAACACAATGATACTATCACATCTCACATACTGTTTGACAAGTTACGCACATGCCAATAAAACAACACTAAAACCTCTCGAAGCACTGTACAAACAAACGCTGAAAGTTTTGGATCGCAGATCAAATAACTACCACCACTGCCTTATCTTAACAAAGTACAAACTTTTGAGCTGGGACAATTTAATCAAGTACACAAACCTTTGTCTTGTTTTTAACATCATACATAACACTGCTCCCCCTCCACTTCAAACTTTCATCACACAGAGGTCAAGCAATAACCAGGCAACGAGAGGTGCAACCCGAGGAGACTGTGTCATACCCATTAGGAAAAGTGCCTTTAGCCACTCAGCATTTTCAGTTAAGGCGTCGCAGGACTGGAATACAGTACCAGTACACATCAGAGAACTCAGTTCATACCATTTGTTCACAAAACAGTTGAAATCATGGCTCATCAACAATCATCCTGTACACATTAGTACTCAACTGCTGCCTCTGTCCACTCTTTAACAACTGCCTGCCTGCCATATTCTTTTGCTTATGTCTGTCTTGCTGTTGTTTGTCGCAGTCTATGTTTGTTATGAATTAGGCTGCTTTGTAATTGTTATTTGTAGAGTCTTGGCTTGCTCTGCTTTTATGTTTGAGTTGCTATGTTTACCTGTTACTATATTTTTATCTTATATCTTAAACTGCATGCAATGATATTGTTTTAAACTACTAACTTTTTTATTACTTAGACTGCCAACTCAGATCTGGCCAGGGGCTGCGGATGAAAACTAGCCTTTTGGCTAATTCCAGTATATTTACAGTTCACTGTTCATTAATATGCATTGTCCCTGATAAATAAACAAATAAATAAATAAACACAAATGCAATCATACAAATACAAAAACTTTATTCTGTTGCACAGTACAATTAGATGAAAATACACATTTGTGTGTGGTGTGTATTTCAGATTTAGAGCTTGTATTATCTCCCTGAGAATAGCCTATATAACAACAAAAAGTGATTCTCTGATTTCTACAGTAACACTATTACCTCAAATTAACCACAGCGATGTAATAAAAAATACTTAAATGCATTCATGCTTGGGCACTGTTATTTACGTGACAACACCTGAACAAAACACACACAAACACACATTGGCTGTTTGTTTCTATCTCTCCCCTCGCTGGAAGCCTCGGACCTCCCACCGCCCGCCTCCGCCTTGATTAAACGCTGAAAATAAAATAAAAGAGGGAGACAGGTTTTATCTTATTTTGTTATATTTCTCCCTCTCCTCTCGCTGGAAGCCTCGGATCTCCCACCTCCCGCTCCCGTCTCAAACACGGAGGTCTCCCTCTCTGCGGAGCACCTAAGGCGCACGCCCGGCCTGTTAAATAGCCTGTAACCATAACAACTGTGTGACACAAACTCAGTGCTTTAGTAATTAAATAATGTCGGGCTCGGTCCGGTTTGGAAAGAAATATGCGGCCCGTGCCGCACTTTAATGGAAATGCACGTGACGTTTTTTTTTTTTTTACAATCTAGGAACCGTTTGCAGGAACCGTTACTCCAAATGTGATGGAACCTGTTCCGGAACCGGAACTTTGGACCCGGTTCTAAAAAAGCACCGGATTCGGATCCCTACCCTATACAGGAGAGAAGGCAGACATCTCTCCAACATTCACCGAATCACACCAAAGCAATCAAGACTAATAAATAGCTCTACAGGTGAGAGGTAAAATAAATGTGTTTGATTTTGGGGTGAACTGTCCCTTTAAATAAATCAGAAAACTGCTCTTTTTCTCCTTTTGTGAGCATCAGCTTCATTTTATCTCTTTGCTTGAAGCACCAAACTGAGCTGCCTCATCATGAGTCCTGGTGGCAGCTTCCTCCACTCCACAAGGTCACACTGGTAAAATGTGGAGCCTGTTTGAATTGAGGTTAAAGGGTAATGGGATCATGTGAGACCTTTCATGTGTGTGGTGCCACTTAAAATATTCAGTGAAAGCACACTTGTTTCAATTCTTTCAGTGTCCAGGTTTTAGCTCTGAGGACAATCAATAGATAGATATAAGGAAAGTAAATAGGTTTTCGTCTTTGCAGCAATATGTGACCTCGTGTTTAGGTTATCTTTTGAGCACCCACTTCCAAATAAAGTGGTGAGCATACATTACATCCTCCACACTGAGTCTTTTCTCCCATTTTCTCTTCCCCATGAAATGAACAATGCAGCAGCCACTGCAGCTCGTTGTTTCCTGAATGTAAAGTAGAGCGGAATAAGCATGTTGAATCACACAAACTGTGACTCTCACATAACCAGCTTGCTGACAACTTAGCGCATCACACTCTAAATAATTTCTCGCCGGCAAAGAAATAATAGAGCCCCAAATACGAGCTGTAAGCTTGCTGTGAAAACAAGTGTGACATCTGTAGTGGCTACAGTCTCTATCCAAACACAGGAGACAAAAGAGGTGCAGACAACAAAATGTAAAATCGATAACCATGTTGGAAGGAGCTGGAGCTATAGATTATCAAATGATACATCATCATATTCAAGTGTTGACAGGCATAACCTTTATTCTGCTGCCAGAGGGTTTCCTGATCAGCACATGTGCAGCATGATAATCTGCTCTCACTGGACTTTGCAGCAACTGTCAAACGCTCCCCATCTCTCTTCTGGTCGCTGACTGCCACTGTGTGGTCATAAATATTTAACACAGCTCTGCTGCAGTCAGGTTTAAACTCTTTTACTTCATAAGCCTGGGGAAATTTGATTCCTTCAGCCCACTCATCAAACAGTATTAGTAATATTTTATACTGTAGGAATGACTCCAAGATAAACTGGAGAGATCTAAAGTAAGTCTCACATTATTTCTTCAAGAAACAAAAGAACAGATTGCTCTATACCTGGGAAACACTAATCTCGTCTCATGGGCGAAAAAAGAATTGAATCTACCTCGGTAAAAACAATTGTGTTCTACCAACACTGTCATCCATCATCATCATTAAAGACGAGAAGAAAAAAAAAGAAACCCTTTAACAGCAGCAATGCATCGCCTTGTGTTTCTGAGACCATGTTGTTGTTTGATGGTGTGTTTTGCTGTGTTCCCGCGTCACTCTGTGACACTTTGGCTGACATGGCGTCAGGTTTTGACATTTAGCGTGGGTCTGGAATGATGTTATTCATCTTTTTTAAAACATGAACACCAAATGTCAGGATTTTTTTTTCTTTTTAAATCAAATTGAACGGGTTTGTTCTGAAGCTGTCATTTTACACCAGGGATCAGAAGTCATACAGTGATGATGCGGCACTCAAACATTTCTGCACCGTGGCCTCAAAAGACCAGAATGCAATGGAGACACAGAACAGAATGACGCAACTCAATGACAGTTTTTGCAAAGTAGTTGGATAGATGTATTTACATGTCAAGTAAAAAACTCACATTCATTTTCTGCAGAGAGGCATTGTGGGAAACTTAAAGCACATGATGCAGTTTTAGGAACAGTGAATAAACAAACAATACTGGAAATTAAAACGCCACATTAGAAATTGACAATTTCTAAAAGTGTCGGGCTAATTAAAACCTGACTTTTTACCTTAAAGAGGAACTACACCCATTTTTATTCCTGTGGTCTAAAACAGTGGTTCCCAACTGGTGGGTCGTGGTCCAAAAGTGGGTCTGTCGAGTTTGTAAAAAACACTTTATTTTGAAGTACATTGAAATTCCAGCACAGAGCTTTTAGTTTGAAGTGCTGTTTCCTTCTGTCTCAACAGAGACAGCAAACTAGCTCAATGACATGGCCAAACTCAGGCATGATGCTGAATATTTTAAACTGTGTGAACCTTGAACTGATGACTAAGGTGAAATCTTGACCCTGTGCCTGGACCAGTTGGGAACCACTGATCTCAAACAGCCCAAAAATATTTGTTAACATGAACAACTCTCTCCAAAATCCGAAACTTAGAGTGCTAAAACTGTAATTTGTGATGTCATCAAGTATTAAGCGCACAGCTCTAAACACAAGTGTAGATGACCACCAAGATGCATTATGATCCTATCACTCAAACCACTTGCCGGGATGGTCCAGGGTAGCCTGGAAATCCAGACCCAAATCTAGAAAGATTTAGGGTCTGGCTATGAGTAATGAAAATGGCCCAACTCGAGGGGCGGCACCAAGCATGCATTTGTAAATATCACTGCACACAATTGGATAACACTACAACCAATCAGAACAATACACGGGGTGAAGTATCCAGAGCTTAGCTACCAGAGGAGCTAACTGGTAGATTAGACTCTTGCCGTATCCGGTCAGCAAAACAGCAAAAACGTCCTTCTTGCAAAGGAAAAATTCGAGTGCCGTCTTCTGTTCCTCTTTTAGAGAAAAAAGTCTAACTCGTTCACTGTAGCGGCCAAAGCCATTTCAAACAACTGGTGTTCATCCGTAGCCATCTTGCAATGTTTACTGACTGACTCCGGACTTCATAGTCGCAGCGCTGTCGTCATCTGTTTAGCTCGCTTCTGGCCCGCCTATATCAGATACACCGATGTGATTGGTGCAGCTTGGCTCCAACGGCATGGGTAATGAGCATCATTACTGATTGCCAGAGTGAATCGCTGAGCAAATTCAAATTCAAATTGTGCAGACAGCTCGCTTACGCTCTAAAACTTGCCCATTTTCAACAAGATGGATAAAATGTCAGGGGCCGTACACATGCCGCGTCTTTAACTGCTTGGAAAACGCAAGGTCAGGCACTGGGCGCTACTTTCGTGCCTTTTTTGGTGCCAGTTTTCAAGAGAGCGGCAGCAGGTTGCATCTGAGGTTGCTAACCAACCTTAACAAGCACTGTATCATAGCCTATTTACCTGAAATCCTGAGTGCAGAGCTGATCTTCTTCCAGGTGCCGTTTATAAGTGTGTAGGCCTATCGTCCGTGAGACAGATGTAAAGCTCTGGGTAGCCCTGCACTAACATGATCAACTTTTCTATATTTACCACAGACTGATATTTACGCAGCTGTTGCACCCTGAAAAACGGGCACTTAGTAACGTGTGCGCACCTGGCGAATTTGAGGGCACAAAAAACGCGGCATGTGTACGGCCCCCTATTTTACCATCCATCATTTTGGAGGAGACATGTTGAATTCTGCTGATAGCAATATCTCCAGCTGTGTGACGTAATAACTGAGTGCTGGGCCCTTTGACCTTCTCGACATACAGGTAGTAACAAAATCCGAACACAAGTGGTCAGCTGGAGATGCATTATAGACACGTGAATGACGATGTGTCTCAGATGTCCATTTGTGTTTGAACTACCAATACACATGCTAACGTTCTGAATATATGGGAACATTTTCAGAACTGAATAAAGCCCATCTGGGGTTTAAAAAGAGAAAACAAACATTCTGTTGGTCACCAAACCAGGCTCCCGTTCACTGCCTATGGAGCAGCAAACTTTATAACTGATGACATCACAAGTTCAAGACTTAATCTGGCTTGTGGCTTTGAGAGAGAGTAGCTCATGTTCATAAAACTGATTGAACATTTCTTGGCCTTTTCAATAACATATTGGAATTCTTATTTTGGGTGGTGTTCCCCTTTAGTGGTACATATCACTGGCGGGTGACACAGGCAGCACACTGCGGTTGTAGGGCAGCCCATAGACAGGGCTCATCCCTGCGTGATGGTAGCTCTCCACCTTCCCAAGCTGGCGCAGATAGAAGAGCAAGGTGAGCTTTCGGGTCATGGTCTTGAGCGCCAGGAACGAGGCCAGGATCTGGGCGAGCAGGAAGAGGAGGTAGAGGGAGTGGACGGCTCTCTCTAGAGGCAGGATGATAATTCCTTCATCGGTCAGGAAGAACAGCAGCACCGGCAGCTGGAACATGAAAGACAGGAGCCAGAAGGCTGCCAGCTCTGGCACCTGATGACAGGGAGGGGAGGGAGGGAGAGTTTGGGTTGGTGGATGGAGGCGATGCAAAGATAGAGCAGTCAGGCATCAAGTGCTTTAGTTGTATCCACATGAAAGCACAGACACACTCTTGTACCTGCACACACACAAACTCAATAGACAGTTGTAGCCAAGAGCTGATTGTTTACACACGCGGGCAGAATACTTAAGCAGCCACTTCCTCCGCCGTGTTATTCTGGAGACGAGTCCATGAAAGAGCTCTGCTTTGTGGTTCAAAGAGGATGTTGGTTTTTGAATCACCTTTTCTTTAAGGTTGCCAATGTAGCCCAGATAAAGTCGGACCACTTCAATGACTGTGAGGAGGATCATCCCGGTTATGAGCAGAGCCTGGTAGTACCCGGGAAGATAATAGAACTGGAAATAAAGCAGAGCTGGAGTGTCAGAAAGGCATGAAAACATCTTTTTACTTGCTACTCACATGACTTCAAGGCTACTATTTAGTGGCCTAACAAAACCTAAAAACACTTATAAAGGTATGATGCTATTGTGGCATTTTTCAAAGGATTCTGAGAGCATAACTTTGGCTTTACAGAGAGATGAAAAGCAGAGCAGTCTTCTGAATGTGTTGCTTTCGCTCCATTCATTTCCTGGATTGATCTGAGGGGGTTTCCACAGGCTACCACTAGACAGCGCCAAAGTCACAAGTTTTCTAATTTGACACAGTGGATCCAGTAAGTTGATTAAATTCAATAATAATTCTGCTACTTCTGAAAACATTAAAGCATCCTCACTAAATATATATTTCTATATGCTTGCTTGAGCATTTTTTCATGAATGAAGCCTTTAAGTGCAGTGACGTGCAGCATGAATTGTTCTAAGTCATCAGAATAAACACTGTTTTGATTTGACTAATTGTCTATATGACACTACTGATGCAACAGATCATCAAAACTTTCCAACAAATGAGCTCCCTATGAATCCTCATGATCTCTGAATCTTGTATAATAAGTCAGCGAGAAACCAGAACACAGTAGAACGAAAAAAGACTTCACTTTACAAGGGACGATTCACCCCAGAATCAAAACTACATATATCTCCTCCTTTCTGTTGTGCTATTTATCCATTGAGATATCAGCTGTCGAGATGTCTGCCTTCTCTCCAATACAGTGGAACTAGATGGCACTTGAAAAACATACATTTCAAAAACTCCACAGCAATGTCTCTTTCCAGAAACCATGACACGGTTACTCAAGATAATCCACAAACCTTGTTGTGAGAAGTGTCATGTACAAAGTGTGCATGTACTGCTAGCCACGTAGCATCACTGAGCTAGCTAACGTTACAGCTCGGCTGAGGAGGACACCATTAACGGTCATATCTTGCACAAGCACGAGCCTCTCGTTCATGAGTGGATGCACACTTTTCTTCTGCGCAGTGATAGGCTTGGCAGGTATAGTTCTATAGAAAGAAAGTAGTTCCTACATGAAAGTGCTCAGAGTTTTTTATATGTATTTTTATGGCACTTTGAGCACCACAAGCCGAGTGCCATCTAGTTCCATTATACTGGAGAGAGGGCAGACATCTCTACAGATGATATTGCCAACACTCTGCAGTATATACAGTACCAAAACAATCTAGACTGAAAAACAGCACTACAGGTGAGAGGAATGACTTCCCTTCCACCCAACTTACCTTTACTTCTAACATGAAAACAGCAGAAAACCACCAACAGGGAAAATAGAACATGTTGAAGTACAGCAGCATCTGCAGGGGAAGGTGAGAGACCAGCTCGTTCACCACTGCAAGACAGAAAAAAACATCATGTAAACACTCATATTCATCATGTCATTACATCAACGATTTGCTTTTATGAACATCATAGTAGACAGTTGTATGGGATGCTTTGTCTGCTGTGTGGACACCACAAAAATAGGTGAACAGAAGTCGACAAAATAATGTGCACAGCTCATGAAAAGGGACTCTAATGTAACTTAATTGGCAGCCCTGCAAAGGCTGCAGTAATCAGAACTTGAAAGCAGAATGAGACAAGTAACAAAACGTCCAAAACATACATGCATAGTTACAGAAACATAATGCCATAAAAGATATAAGTAATGTGCCAAGAAAAACAGAATTAAAAATGATGAAAAATATGACAAACACAGGTTTATAACAACCCACAGTCCAGACGAAAATATCAGTATTGGACAATTTTGCAAAATCAGGATTTTGTCAGATGATAACTGTTTACAATGATGATTATTTCAGAGTTAAAGCAATTTTTGTGCTGTGTTCATGCATTATTGAATAGGCTACTGAGCACATGTCCAGGGAACCAAAGCGTCAGGTGACCTTTAACTGCAAAGTATCACTAAAATGAACACGTACTGACCAGGAAGAGACTCAGAATGACCACAAAGAGATGCAGAGAGACGACAAAGAGACTCAAACGACTACAAAAAGACTAAAAACAACCAAAAAGGAGACACAAAATGACCATAAAAAAGATGCAAATGGATGGCAAGGAGATACAAAATGACTGCAAAAGTGGGCAAAACAGCCACAAAGAGACACAAAATGCCCTCATTACGACACAAAATCACTTCAAAGGAACCCAAATGACTACAAAAGGACACAAAACAACTAGGAGGTACAAAATGACCAAGAAAGGCACGTCACCTCATGAGGACACAAAGTTACTTCAAAGAGACCCTAACAACTACAAAGAGATGCAAACAACTACAGAGTCTATGTGTCGTCCCCCCATGTAGAAGCGATGGTGTGGCCCTTTGCATATTTTTGCCAAGTGGCCCATTGTCTCATAATCTGCCCACATTATTTTTTCAACCACTCACAGTTACTTATATATCAGAATTTGGTATGTTATCACGATACTATATTATACTGTATTCTAAGATGTCACCTTAAGTTGTACAGCTGTAAATTAAACTATACTAGAACTGAAAACAGTCTCTGGGGGCAGTGACCAACCAGAAACGTCCTCCTGCTCCCGTGTGAAGTCGCTGTCTGCCGTCCTGTTGTTGGTGAACACAGAGCCTCCCATATAGGCCAGACCCATCTGCAGGTTCTCTTGAACAGGTGAGTAAAACACAGGCATCGTGGGCAGAGCTGGTGACCATGACCGAAGCCAAGAAATCAGGAAGCGTAACGGTCCAAAACTGTGTTTGTGTTCCAGCGACTGCTGCCAATCCTCGTTGTCTTAAGTAACACAAGTACACGAATGCATGAAGGGACAGATAGGAATGGACACACACACAGACGCGTGTTGGCAGACGCCACTGCTAATCAGATTATAGCGAGGGAGGCGGCCTGAGGATTAGGCTGAGACAGCAGCATGGCAGTTTGTTAAGTAAGTAAGTGGCCGGTTATGATGCTCAGTAAATTTGTTTATCTAATTACAGAATTTAACATTTATAGAAGCTGGAGGGAGCAGAATGAAAACCACAACAATGCATTAAAGAAAAGGGAACTATTCCCTTATTTTACACATGAATATTATTGTTCTCCCATACACAAAAAAACTCCAGTTTCTTTTTTCAGACTGCACACATATTCTGTATGTTTTAATATATACTACTGCAGGTAGTGGTGGAGGAAATATTCCTATGTTTTAAAGGGATAAAAGTGCTAATACCACACTGTAAAACTAGTCTTTTACAAGTAATAGTCCTGCATTGGAAATATTAAGTAAAAGTAAGTATAGTCAGGAACATGTACTTTTATAATTATTAAGTAAAACTACTCAATCCAGAAACATCTAAAAATAAATAAATACATTATTATTATTATTTAGTTTATAACAAAACATCATATTGTATAAACTTTTCACACTGTAGAAAATTTTGGAAATATTACTTAAGTAAAAGTAAGTATAGTCATGAGTATGTACTTAAAGTATTAAAAAGGTAAAAGTACCCAATCCAGAAACTAGCTCTTCTAAAATAAATAGATAAATAAATGAATAAATAGTGAAAAAAATCAATAAAAACAAATAAAATATAATAAACAACCAAATAAAAATAAAAATCATTCAGAATAAATTAGAAAGTGACATAAATGTTAAGATTAATGTTAAACAAAAAATAAAAACCAAATGAAAAACAAATAAAATTTAAAAAATAGAATTAAATTTAAAAAATAAAAAAATAAACAACCAAAAATATCAAAATTATTCAAAATAAATTAAAAAAAAAATAATATTAAAATAATATTAAATAAGTAAATAATTAAATAAAATAAACAACAAAAAAAATTAAATTATTCAAAATAAATTAGAAAGTGACTTAAATGTTCATCAAAAAGATTCAATCCAATCGGCAATCAATTTTCTGTCAGTCATCTAATGGATTAATTGACTGATTGTTTCAGCTGTTCTTTTATTAACTGTTGGGTAGTTTATAACAAAACGTCAGGTTTTATTAACCTTTCTTATGCTTTTTTATCAAAAACCTTAATTTGTTAAGTAACTAGTGACTAAAGCTTTCAGATAAATGTAGTAAAGTAAACAGTGCAGTATTTCCCTCTGTAATATAGTGGAGTAGAAGGATAAATTGGCAGGAAAAGAACAGACCCAAGTAAAGAGCAAGTACCTCAGATTTGTACTTGAGTAAATGTACTTAGTTACATTCCATCACTGACTCCGGTAGCCTCCAATAAATGGAGACATCAGGCAGATTATTGACACTGATCCCCTCTGTGTTTTTATTGAGGAGTTTTACAGCTTTTTTTATTCAAAGCAAATAAACAGAGTGACACAGCAATGACTAACACACTGCACGCAGCACCCGGCCAGCGAGTCCTCGGAATGGTGCCTGGCTTATCGTTTTGGCCTTGGGGCCCCACTCGTCATTAATGTGACAGGGGTGCAGCGGCAGAGTTCGGCCACAAGGTGTCGTCACAGCTCGTCCCTGGGGGCGCGCAGGGGGAAATGCTGAAACTCCTCTGGCACCTCTTCCCCTTTCTGGGACCTCTTGTAGAAACCGAGCGAGTCCAACAGGCTGCTGATCTCGTCCGCCTTCATTTTCTTCACGGGAACAGTCTGACGTGTCGAGAGAGGAAACACACACACACACACATAGACGCATGATTAAAGCATTGCAGTATAAAATAGATGTTGCAGACACACAGTATGTTCTTATTCACATTAGTTTATTCTGATAATTACCAGAATTGGATTTTTATTAAAACTTGTTCAGCGGCTGCTGATATAGAGGTCCCTCCTGCACATTTGTTTTCATTTATTTGTTCAGTAATTCTGTTTCTGAAATAAATCTTCATATAAAGTCAAATTACAGTCTCAAAGGGCGCCCACATTATGAAACAATAAATGGAAACAAGAAACATTAGACCCTGAATGTGACAAAAGAAAAACTCCTACGGAAGCTTTATGAGGGAGAATAAAAGGTAAAAACCTCCAGAAAGCCGTAAAGTATGGGAGTAGTTTAGTTTAAATCACAGCAGTGGCTCTTTGTGCATGTAGAAGAAGCTAAATAAATTCATTAGTATTGGTTTCAGTGGAGAGTTTTATTGTCTCACGCTGGCCTAAATGCACATTCACAGAATTTTCCCACACTGACAGAAAGTTAAATTTGGTGGGAAATGCTGAACTGCTGTAATTTCAGGGCATAAAACTGCTCAAATTCATGTCAACATTCCTGTTTCACAGCAAAAAAATATAGCTCAGCTGTCAGAAAGCCTAATTTATATATTTTCTTACTCTTCCTCTCTCTTGCCATCTGTTTTTTTGTGACTCTGTCTCGTTCTTTCAAACACACTCGGTCTGTGTGACTCGCTATCTGACGGAGGATCTGATATCAGATGCAAACTTCCCTACATGAATCTGTCTTGACATCCCGGAGCTCCCCAGATAAACCCCATCACAAAGATCCCAGGAACTTACATCTCACCTTTACAACCTCGTCCTTTTCGTTATAGAATATCAAACGAGGCTTCTTCTCCTCTGATGAATCGTATTCCAAGTTGTGGCTACACGGGAAAAGAACGGATCAAGGGAAACAACAGGTGAAGAATAAAGCACATCCATCTGGGTTGCTATTTTTAGGCTCGTGATCTCAACTTGGAAGAGCAGAGTTTTGGAAAACTCAGAGCTGGCACCGGACTTGGCAACTTGCTAGGAACATTGTTTTGTTTATGAAAGAGGTCATGAGAAAATCTGTGTACTTCGGAAAGGTCAGGTCCTAACAAACAGCCTGCGGAACAGAGGACGACAAGGATACTATAAAGCCCAGCGCTCCAGAAGAAAATGATGGAGCTCGGGCATTTTCTTTATGCCTCATCCGACCACACTGGGAGCCTGCAGGGACAGCAACAGACGGTTGTTAAAACAGCATGACAAATAGCATCGTGCACGCTTGGTTCTTTGTGTGATCAAGGGTGCCAGAAATAGGTACCTCAGCAGAACGGATACTGACATGACAGAACATGGCTGATCCCTCATCTTACTCATGTTCCCATTTACCGTGTCCCCTTGCCATGTGCGTATGTCATGTCAGACTGCCTTGTCCCTGCACTGGTATCATAAATTCCCGAACATTTTAAGGACATGTCATGATATCCAGATGAAATCAGTACTCACCAGCAGCTTCCCTCTGGCTATATTTAGCTCTTCTTTAACTGCTGTGTCGTTGTTAGTGTCTGATGCCCAGACAGTGAGGGTCAGAGTGAGCACCAAGAGGGCCCACATGTTTTTGTTAATGACGAATTAGTATCCTTGAGTGCATTTGCCCAAGTTATTACCTACAATAACCAACCCTTTAATCCACCTGGACAGCTTCACAGGGTGGATAAGACCATGACACATTCCTGCAGGGGAGCAGTGCCCTCCTGTGTCGGAGCTTTCTCACTGTTTCTTGTTGTTTTTCTTTCACAGATTCTTTAGAATATAAGAAGTAGGTCACCGGTGAGCCATGCTGTTATTCTGCTGTAGTCTTATAGTTATAAGGTTGTTTTTGATTTCCCAAAGGTCACGCAGAGGCCCCTGGCTTTTGGTTTATAGTTTCTTCCACATCAGATGACATTGGGGTTCCACGGAAACCACAGAACATCTGTGCTCTTATCACTTTTTCCCATACAGTCAACGTGCAGGTGGTTGATGGCCACTCAGAGCCGGCGACACTCTCAGAGCTGCTGAAAAGCTCATTTTAGCCAAACTGGTTTTGTACAGGTGTCCTGAAAGAAAGGAAAACATCTCTCCTCATTTGTCCCCTTCCTGTAATTAATTAACGAGACAGTTGTTTGACTTGTGAGCTATCTTCAATGAAAAAACTGAAAGTGAATGAGAAGACTGACATTAAAGGGTAACCTCAGTATTTTTTAACCTGGAACCTATTTTTCCCATGTTTTTCTGTCTAAATGACTAATGGGAACAACAATTTTTGAAACTGGTCCAGCACTGAGAGAGAGGGCTACAGCTGAGCAACGCCTGCAATGTAACTGAATGGGGCAATTGTGCAACATCACTGTACAACCATTAACAGTTCATTGTTTTTGCCACAGCCTGGCTCAGATTGTTATATATAAGTGTCCGAAGTGTCTCTTTACTTTATCGCTTGATCCACTAAGTTTGTTATTGTGTCTAAGTCTCGCTCAAGGAGAAAAACTTGTTCTGCAATCTCACGAGACAGGACTTGTTGAAGGAAGATATGCAAGTGAGAGTTTAAGAGAGTAGTGCCAGGGAGAGTTTGTTGTGTTGCAACTTGCAATACAGAAAATGTAGTTTAGTGTCATCTAAAAGATCAGTAAACGGTTTGTGTTTGTGCATTCCCAAATTGTGCCAATAACATGTCATGCTAGACTTCACGCAGCTTGGACACAATAATAAACAGACCAATCAAGTGAAAGGTAAAGAGGCACGTCACTTGTAATAACAATCTGAGCCTGTATACAGCAAAAATAAACTCTTTTAATGGACGTGCAGCCACAGCGCACAATTGCCCCATCTGCTCACACTGTGCAGCTGCTGGCTGCAGCCCTCTCTTTTAATACAATGGACCAGTTTAAAAAAAAAAAAAAATGTTCCCATGAGTCACTTAGATAGAAAAACATGGGAAAACAGGGTCCAGGTTGAATAATGCTGAAGTTGCCCTTTAAGGCTGTTAGATTTATATTGTTGCAAATTAGCATCTGCTCTAAGCGATATAATTCTTCTATCAAATAGCTGTTGTTTAGTTTTTCTGTGTATAGCATTTCTTTCCCTATCAACACTGGAAACAGTGAAACTAACCAACACCTCTTTAATGCCAAAACAAAAAATGTTTCTGAAAACTATGTTACATTTACACAGCATCATGTGGCAGATAAGATGACATTTAACATTTCGACAACAATGTGGGTAATGTCTGGTTATGTTAAGACACGAAAACCACTTGATTAAGATCATGTTTTGGCCCAGTTTTGGTGCCACAATCCCTGCTGGAAAAGCAGCAATGTCTTTGTAAAAACAATTGCTTTTTGCAACCTGGTCTCACTCAAAGTCATCAAAATCTGGTGTTTGGGCAGTGAATTGGAGCATTGGACACCAACAAAAAGCTGTCCTTTAACATCCGCATGGTTG